CCCTGTTTGCTGGCACTGTACTTACTGTTGCAGTGTACAGGAATGCTATGTTGGTTATTAGACCAGTTGGACTGTGGCAGCAATTGCCTCACTCTAACCTCTCTTGTCGAGCTCTGTCACCTGTAGGGAATGCACACAGTATAGAGAAGCTCTAGATGTTTTGTGCCAAACAATTTTGCTCTCAAGAATGTCCAGAAAGACCACCTCCAAGGAACTACCAAAAGGCTTGGCTGTCTGTCCCACCATGGTGGCATGGAGTCTGGGAACTGCCGAGCATCTGTGCTGCTCTGTGGTTGTGGCAGGACTCATTTGTGTGGCTGCTGTTCAAATTCCACCCAATTTCTTTAAACTTCATTCCTTTTGATTAAGGACAAAGGACTCTGATTTCCTAATAGATTTTAACTGATTCCATCAGAGGGAATTTGAACATACTCTGCTGCTAGTTGTATTGTCCAGCTGTGTCAGTGTAGTAGGCTGACCCTGTCTGGATGCCAGACACTCCCCCACAGCTGCTCTGTCACTGCCCTCTGCGAGTGGGCAGGAAAGAGAAAATACAATGAAAGGTTCATGGGTTGAGATGAGGACCAGGAGAGATCATCACTGAGTAGCCTCACGGGCAAAATAGACTCAGCCTAGGGAAATGAAGTGACTTTATTACTAACAAGATCAGAGCACGATAAGAAGAAATAAAACAGACCTTAAAACCACATTCCCCCCATCTCGGCTCAGCTCAGTCCTTCCCCTGCTCCAGCCTGGGCTGATCCCACAGGCTCAGTCCTTCCCTTTTCACAGAATCACCCTGTAGCCCCCACTGCCCAAACCTGCCCCACAAACCCCACACAGTCAGGATTTTTGGTGCCACTCATGTTTGTGTGTTTATCCAATACGTTTTCCACACTGAGGCACTTGGGCTAGGGAGATCCATTTCTTAAATTTCTGAGGGTATTTTTTCCTGGGCTGATCCCACAGGCTCAGTCCTTCCCTTTTCACAGAATCACCCTGTAGCCCCCACTGCCCAAACCTGCCCCACAAACCCCACACAGTCAGGATTTTTGGTGCCACTCATGTTTGTGTGTTTATCCAATACGTTTTCCACACTGAGGCACTTGGGCTAGGGAGATCCATTTCTTAAATTTCTGAGGGTATTTTTTAGCCTTCCCAACACTTCAGGGGAATCTTCTTAATTGTCTTTGTGTTCATTATCTCTACTTTTTCTTTCAGGTTAAAAACTAACTATTTAAATAAAGAATCTGTCAGTGGGGTACAACAATAGTAACCCTTGTGTTAACTGTGTTCTGAAATTGGAAATTTGGTCTTCTGTTATTGTGTTCCCCTCATTTTAAGTCTGTAGATAGTTGCTATGAAACAGCAGTTGCTCACTTCAGAACCAGGTACTAAACCTTAGCTTCTGGAAAAGGATGGAAATTTTAAACACTTTACCACCCTAATTTGTAAGTTGAAGGTATTTTTTTCATTCTAAAAAAGCTGCTGTATTTTTCCCCTCTTGTTATCTCTGGAGTGGTTTTGTCTCATGTTATTTGGCACTGCTGTGTTTTGAGATTTCCAGTACTTGTGATTTAAATTATCAGTAACAAAAAAAGGGTTTTTTGAGTAATACTGCAGAGATATTAAGTATCTTTAGCCTTTCTGAGATGTCAGGCTCTAGAGCAGCACCCCTCAGTGAATTTTGTATGCAGCTGTGCTGATTTAGTAGCACTTTGCTCATCTCTAGTTCTTTTTGCCAGTTGCTGTAACTGTTCTTTATAAATTGAATTTAATCCTTTCTCTTTTTTTCAAGTACTGAGGAAATCTGAAGTGCACGATGAAAAGTGTTAGGCATAATAAAAGAGAGGAATAAACATAAGTTTCTTTAACAATCTGGTTTTGCCTTATCCACAGCAATGACCAATTTCTTCCTTAGCATAAGAGATTGCTCTATTTGCCTTCAGTTGTATGCGCTCTGGGGTTGAAATACCTAACTGGGTGCTTCCTCATGTTTTTCAGCAATATTTTATCTTGCTGATCATCACAGATGGAGAAATCACTGATCTGGACCAAACCAGGCAAGCAATTGTTAATGCCTCGAAGCTGCCCATGTCCATCATCATCATCGGCGTCGGTGAGGCTGATTTCAAAGCAATGGAGTTCCTTGATGGGGACAGTGGTGTGCTGAGGTCTGTGACAGGAGAGCCAGCTGCACGGGACATCGTCCAGTTTGTGCCTTTCAGGCAATTTAAAAATGTAAGCTGATTTCAACTTCAGCAGAGTCCTGGTGTGTAGACTGAGAGTTGTGGTGAATGGAGCTAAATCCAGTTGGGGCTGTCAGTAGTGTTCCCCAGGGCTCAGTTCTGGGGCAGGTCCTGTTTAATACCTTTACTGATGATCTGAATGTGGGGAGTGAGTGCACCTCAGTGAATCTGAAGACACACAGTTGGATGGGAGTGTGGATCTGCCTGAGGGTGGGAAAGCTCTACAGAGAGACCTGGACCAACTCGATCAATGTGCCAGCAGAGTGCACAGATGGCCAAGAAGGCCAAGGGCATCTTGGTCTGGATCAAGACCAGTGTGGCAGCAGGACCAGGGCAGTGCTCATCCCCCTGGACTGGGCACTGGGGAGGTCCCAGCTCAGTGCTGTGCTCAGCTTTGGGCACTCCCTGCAAAAAGGCCATTGAGGCACTGGAGCGAGTCCAGCCAAGGGCAGCGAGGGCAGGAAAGGGCCAGAGCACATGGGGAAGGGCTGAGGGAGTTGGGCTTGGTTAGCCTGGAGGAGAGGCTCAGGGGTGACCTCATGGCTCTCTCCCAACTCCCTGACAGGGTTGGAGAGAGTCTGTCCTGCCATGGCTGCAGGGAGAGGACTGGAGGGAATGGCCTTGAGCTGAGACAGGGCAGAGTCAGAGGAGGTGTTAGTAAAAATGTTTTCCTGGTTAGGCTGTTCAGACAGTGGAATAGGGAATTGCCCAGGGAGGTGGTGGAGTCACCATCCCTGGGGTTGTTTAAGAGGCATCTGGATGTGATACTAGAGGATATGGTTTAGGGGTTATAGTAGTGATAGGTTAAGGGTTGGATTTGATGATTTTGGAGCTCTCCTCCAACCTCGAGGATTCTATCCTAAAGATGAACGTGGTCTTGCCAAGGCAGCAGGCTGCATGCTCAGTGCTGCAGGCTGTGCTTGTACCCAGTGAGAGCTGAGATCTCTGCTGCTGTGTTCAGAGCTGTGTCTTGCTTCTCGCTCCTTTTTCTCAAAGAGCCCTGGTTGTATTATTGATTTTGCACACTGTCTTTTGGTTAGGCTAGGGTTAAAGGGGATATTCTTTCCCCTGGCATGCAGATGTTTAGGCAAGGAACTGAGATCATGTTGTCTGTGATGCTGAGTCCCATGAATGAGTGAAGCTGAGATCAGTCTCCCCTGTCATTCCCCAGCTCTTCCTAACTTCCACTGCATGCACGTTGCACAGTGAATTGGGTTGAACAGTGAGTCAAATGAAAACCCAAAATAAGAGACACTGCTTGTGGCTGGGGCAGTTTCATGCTTGGATCAGGGCTGTGTAAGGGCTGTGTGAGTCTGGGGCTGAGGTGGGAACGAGTGGTTTTCATCAGCAGTGCTCACTGAGCACTGGAGGTGCTCCTAAAGCTGCAGCAAGCAGCTCTTGAAACAGGGAATGAGCATAGTAGGTGGAGACTGTGCTCAGAATCCTGTGAGGAAGTTTGTAACTGGGCTGACAAATCCCTTCTCTGCTGTATTTCTGATTTATTCTCCCTGTTTTCCTTTCAGGCTCCTCAGGAAGCTCTTTCCCGGACAGTCCTGGCTGAAGTACCCAAGCAGCTGGTGTCGTACTACAAGTGGCAGGGGTGGCCCCCGCTGAGACCACCCGAATTCAAGGCCATGTAGCTCGAGGCTGGCCCTGCTGCCTGCCCCATGCTCCCCTTGCATGCCATGGGTGTTGGGTGCCTCCAGGTTGCACCATTCACACCACTTTTACCTGCTTGTGCTCTGAGTAATTTGATCTTTCCTGTTTCTAATCAGAAGGAATGTAAATACAGGAAAAGCCCCACTGCTTGCGGTTTTCATCACAGATAAGTAGACCTTGCTGGTTTTCCAGCTTGCAGCAGTGGCACATGGTGAGGCATGGCCCCGTGGTTGGTTGGCACAACCCATCTGCTGCTCGGTGTCGGGGTGGGCGTGCCTGTGTGCGCTGAGCCGCTCGCACCGCGCTGCTCCGGCGCTGAGCTTGGTGGGAGAAGTGTCGCGCCCGTTCCTGCTGTAATGACACTTCCATGTGCTCCTTGGTAGGTGTTGTTCTTCTAGCAAGCTGCCCTGGGAATGGGGACCCTTCTGTCCTGCATGTGACCAAAGACTTTGGGTTGGATGCCTGAGGTAGTTCCTTTTGTGCATTCATGAAGTGCCAGTATATTTTTTTATATCTAGAGGTATATTTTTAAATTTCAGTGACCATACTTATTAGCTTCTTTTTAATCACATTTTTCTACTGGCAAAATTTGCTTCTGTGGTAAACTCTTGCTTGGAGCCATTGTTATAGCTAAAGAACACTGCACTTTGGTTATTTTAGGAGGTCAGTGAGGATTGATCATTAACTAATGGGGCTGGGATGGGATTAGTGAGTTACGCTAATTTGACTTTAAAAATCCAGCAACTGGAAACATGGAAATGAAGATATTCTGAGTGATTTCTTTGTATCACACAAGCTGCAAAGTGATGAAGCAGCTCCAAAGAGGTGCTTCATCCTCAGGAGTGTGATGTGTGTATTACAGGGTCTGTGGACTGTGGAACAGGCACATGATAGCAAAGCACAGTTGTTTTGAGGGATGGGAATTGGTGGTTCATTTCAATATAGAGATGAAGAAATTTAGGCTTGTCATTGCACTACAAGTGGTCATCACTTTCAGTTACGTAAATAAATACTCTGCTTTGATTTACATATCATGTCTGAACTTTTATTTCCTTCCTGGACTACTTTGGCTTTCTAGCGATGCGGATGGTGATGTTTCAGCACCTGAGTGAGCCTAGGTTGAGTGTGGTACAAATGCAGAGCCCTCTGCTTGTGCATCATTGTTGGTTTTGTTCCCTGTTGATCACTGGGACTGCTGAATCCCACAGCCCTGTCCTGCAGTAAGATCAGCTGTTTCTTTACCATGAAATTATGAAAGAATTTGACTCTTCTACCAGACAAACCACAAAATGATGAGACTATGTTGGCAGACTGCCCTGGTGATCCAGGCCCTGAGACCGGTAGGTTACAAACCTGTGTGAAGGTAGAACCTGGGATTGAACCCACACCTTCAACTAGTCTAGTCATTCTGTGTGGATTCTGCCAAACTACCACTGTGGTGTAGCTTGTGCGTGAAGGGCTGTGGGTCCAAGAGCACTGCTGATCCAAGATCAATCTCTCCTAGTTTTTCATTCAAACCTAGTTTGGACCATGATGTGTTCTCCCAGGTCACACAGGCAGTAGCCAGCTTCCTCTGGAGAAAGCTGGACTGTCTTTCTGACACCCAGCCTGCAGCACCCCATCTTGCACTCCTTGCACTTTCTAGAGTCTTGAAGGAAACCAAGCCAACCTCTCTTGAGTGGCTGTCTAAACTGAGATGTGTTGCAAGTCTGGAAGGGAAGGACGAAAACTGCCAAGTCTCCTCTGAGAAACTGCACTGTGGTTGAGGACATCCTTTACTCTTGTTTTCTGCTGCTTACAGGCTGTAGACAGAGCTCCCCTTCCCTGTGTTGTGTGTATAAGAAACCTAAGGCTGGTCTTTTGTGTGTATATTAAAATCCATTTTGCCTCTCCTTTTTCAAACCTCTGCCAGCTCCTGCTCAAAAGGGAGAGTGGATCCTTTGTGTTTCTGCATTGACTGTGAGGAGTAGAGTCATCACAGCAGCAAGATGAGGTGTCTGCAGGTGCTGGGTTTATCGATGGTAGGAGATACTGGTAAGGAGAAGTAAGGCTAAAGGGCCAGGGAATGCCAGCTGAGTGAACAAAGGGAAGTATAGCCTGAAGGGCCATTAAGTGCAGGCTGAGGGAGGGGATGGTGACAATGAATTTAGAGAACTAATTGTAATAATAATGACCACCCATCCCTGGAAATAATTAATAGGTATGAGCATTTAATGTATAAAGAACATGAAGGTTTTGTCCCTGGTTGCACAAGTTTGGTGGAGCGATCCCCCTTGTGCCCAGCGCTGAATAAACAAAGACCTGCTCCTCAGAGATACAAGGCTGAGTAGTTCTTTCCCAGCTTTTCTCGGCATCAGTACCTTTCCTGTTTTGGGGAGGGAGAGGCCAAGATATGGCAGAGGCAGGTCTGAGGAAGTTCTCCCTGTGGGAGCAGAGCACAGTTTGGAGGAGGTGCTCTTTACCCACAGGTAAGTGGCTGAAATGTGAGCAAGCAAAGGGGCATGAGTCCTGTGGTTGTCACTTGAGAAACTGCATGGGTATGGGCCCAGATGAAAAGCCATGGGAAGGTCAAGCTTGGAAGCTGCTGACCTGGGATGGCAGTTTTGCCTGTTTTCTCTCACTGACTCCCTGAGGCACCAGGTTTTGGAGGCAGTGCAGACAGCTGCTGGGCACTTGGGTGGAAGGCGGGCAGGGCTGTCCCCTGCCATGTGCTGCCCTGGGTGTAGCTGGAATGCAGACTGATTGCGGGGCTGTGGCTCAAGTTAGAGGAAAGGCCAGTGTGCTGGTTTGAAAGCAAACCAGTGAGAGACTCCAAGTCAGAGATACCAAGCAACAAATGCAACAGTAACAAAAAGCAACCACTGACAGTCAAAGTAACCTGACAGCCTGTCAGTCAGGGTGTTGGTAGCAGTCCGATGAAATGGTGGCTGCAGTCCTCCTGCTGGAGCTATGATCCCGCTGATCCCGCTGATCCGGGCCTCTCCCGAAGGTTCAGTGTCAGCTCTTGTCCTCTGGGAATCCAGCAGGCAAAGGGCTCTGTGCTGGTCCAAACCCAGCTTATATCCCTGTGGCAATGCTTGGCTCCCCACCCCATGTGGGAATGCTTGGCTCCCCCCTTGGGGTGAAGCATCTCCCAATGGGATGATGTAACTCTCTGGGTCCTGCCTGGGTCCCTGACAGCCCATTAAACAGAGACAGCCCCTGAGGAGCCATCAGGGACAGGAGATAACAATCACTGCCCCCACCTGCTTTGACAGCTTGTGGAGAGGATAACAGAATACATACCACGGGTTACCCCCTACATTGTAACCCAGGACAGCTGGGTTTGAGCTCAGGTTATCTTCTTCAGGAGAACGTGCTGCTCTTACATCCTGCCTTCTCTCCACAGTAAGCATGGGGAACACCCCAGAAGTCTCTTTACCTTGGCAAAGACTGAGCAAACACCCTTGTACTTGTGATCCCCAAAGGTATTTCAGCCTCAGGGCTTTGCATAAATCTGTTGCACGTAGGAGCTCACTGGGGAGGTTTCCTCCTGCTTCCAGGTCTCCTGGCAATAAATACTGGTGACATTTCATGCTAGGCTATGTCACACTACCCAAGAACTTCCTCCTCTGTGGCTGATCCATCCCCCTTCTTTGCCCAGACAACTGCTTGGGCTAAGGGCCCTCCTTGGGGTCTGAAATTGGTTCCCTCGGGGACTGTTTTGCTAGAAATGAGGCACTGTCTTCAGGTGGATGCAGTGATGGGACTGCTCCAGGTGTTTGAGGAACCCACACAAACTGCACTGGGAGATAGTGGCTTTTGGTCAGCTTTGAGCAAGTATTGTATCCACTCGGCACCAGCATACTGCAGGGGTCTGGATGTCTCATTAAACTGCCTAGCTTGCTCTCCTTGCCCCCTCCAGCCATGACTGGGTGTGGGGTCAGTGCACTAAGCTTTCTGTGCTGCCCTGAACTGAGGAGCTTGTTCATTTGGGCTCACAGAAGTGGTGCCAAGTGCTGCCAGCCTGCTCTGTTTTGCTGCCGCATGGTGAAACTGCATCCTCCCACTGTGACATGCATCTACTGCCCCCAGCAATGCTTCTCAGGTGCTCCAGGAAATGCTTGTCAAAGAGGGAAATAAAGGAAATGTCTGCAGGGCTTGCTTCGAAGCATTTGGCATTACACAGGTATGATTCACTCCTTGGTGTTGGTGGAGCTGGGGGAGCCACCCTGGCCTGCTGCAAGGCAGGCGTGTGTGGACACAGGTGCCTGGTGCTGGGTGGATGCTGAGGGAGAGAACCCCAGGATAAAGAAATGTTCTCCAAATTAGGCTCAGCTCATTATTATCCCATTGCTTTAATCTGGCCTGAATCTGTGCTCCAGAAGGGCTCTAGCATCAATTTTCTATCAGCTCTGGTGCAGGTGAGATGAGCTGGATCAGGCCCAGGGAGTGCACGGGGGAGCACAGCCAGCTCCTGGCACCATGTGCCCCAGGTCTCCCTCCTTTCCCTCCTGCTGTCAGGGCTGGTGCCAGCGCTCTGCAGAGCAGCTGGAGCTCCTGCCCTACTGCCTGTGGATTTTGGTGCTTGTTTCTGTCCTGCAGATAGCTGGCAGGTGGGCTGCAGCCGCTGTCCCCAGTGGGACATCCCACCTCTGCTGCTTGGGATGTCCCCTTGGGTCCCTGCTCAGAGGGCTGCTGAGCACTTTCAGTTTCCTCGTGTTGGGGGAGCCCAACCCACACATTCCAAGGGCTGCGGTGAGTGACTAAGCCAATTGCCCTTTTCCACCCTCCCTCTGTTTGCTTTGGAGGGTTTTAACCACAGGAGCTGTGATTTTACGCTGGGGAATCGCAGGGCTAGGGTAGCTGAAAGCAGACCCAGGCTGTGTCCTTGCTGCAGCATTTGTGTCAGTGTCTCCCAGTGCTGACTTGGGTGTCCCCAGACACAGCCCTGAGCTGAAGTGTGGCCGTGTGTTGGGCATATTCACTTCTGCTGTCTCCA